ATAGCTCCATGGCAGGATGGACTTTGTCTATGTTATCCACCTACGTATCCCTAGTGAATAGAACATGCCTGGCAGGGCCAAGTCCCCTTCCTTCCAAACTAGTACAGTCTGTATGAGTGTTTTTGTGGTGGTTGTTTTACTTTTTGGTTTGTTTTTTAGATTGACATTTTCTCTTGGCACTGGCTATATGTAATTATGCAGAAGAAATAACTTCTCTGGGTCCAGGTTCTTAATCTATAAAACAATGTTAGACTAGGGTATAGTTTTTGTTTTTGTTTTTTTAAGAGACAGCATCTCGCTCTGTCATCTAGGCTGGAGTGCAGTGGCACAATTGTAGCTCACTGTGGCCTCATCCTCCTGGGCTCAGGCAATCCTCCCGTCTCAGCCTCCCGAGTAGCAGGAACTACAGGTGCATGCCACCATGTCCAGCTAATTTTTAAATTTTTTGTAGAGACGGGGTCTCAATGTTTCCCAGGCTGGTTTCAAACTCCCAGCCTCAAGCAGTCCTCCCGCTTTGGCCTCCCAAAGCGCTGGGATTACAGGCATGAGCCACTGTACCCAGCCAGAATTTCTTAATGCCTATAGCCCAATATATCATATGAAAAGATGAAAAATTAAGCATATTTTTGTTGCACAAAAATACCAAGTCGAGTTATAAATCCATCCAAAGGAGGATAATAAGCAGTTAAGCAAACCCATGTCTGAGATGGTCAGAATCGCGCTCAGTGACTGCCAGCGCAGGCGGATGCGCCGTGCGGGGAGGGCGTGTTTGCCTTCTGGCACGCTCCTGAGCTTCGGTCCTCTATCTTTCACCTCCCTCACTCTGCCTTTTCCTTCGGTTCCTATTCTTCTTCTACCCCGTCACTACCATTCCTAAAACTCGGCCTTGAGCGTGCTCAGCATTTGGCAAGTTCGCTTACGCTCACACCTTAACTAGTGTAGTCGTCAGGGACTGACACCCACGCAGTGACTCCAGTTCCGTCCTTCCACAAGAGTGCCGCTAAACCTCTAAAATTCGGATATTTTAATTTGGGTCCTGCCATCACTGGATCAATATAGGCAAAAAAAAAAAAAACTGCGGGACTTCTGTTCCTAAAAGGCAATGTGCCCAGGCAGCTCTGGCTGTCACATGCCGGAAGTGGGCTCACTGCCCAGACAGAACACAGGAAACCCCGGCTCTCCAGCCCTGCGGACACGGCCGGAGGATCTGCAAACCCATTCAGGCTCAAAGCCTAAGATCCACGGCGGCTTCCCCACTCCCATCTGGCATCTCCTCTAACCGAAGGATCCTCTCCTCACAACAGAGTCCCTTTTCCAGTCTGAATTCACACTCCAGCCACCCTGGGCCTGGCCTTTATCAACTCAGAGGCACCACAACAGCCATCAGGGGAAAAAGGGAAATCGCAGATATTTACAGCCTTGAGGGTATGATAAATAAGACCAACCAAGAGAAACAGACTCTTCCATTCCTCCCAGAAGGCACCAGCTGACCCACCTGATGGTTTCCAGGGCATTTGTTATCTGCTGTTGCTCAATATCATAGAGTTTCACCTTGAAGCCTCCGCTGGCAAACAACATAGCCCAGCTTCGCCCGATGAGCCCGCTACAGGGAAATAAAATTAAGAAAGGATTCGAGTTAACTTAATTGAACAGCTTTTCATTCCTAACCTAGAATGAGTTTTTTAAAATTATACAGTATCCTATTCTTAAAATATTCAATAAATACTTTAGAATTACACCTTTTAGTCAAGCACGGAAAGAAATATCACGTTATCACTCACATA